GTTTTGAAATCACATATTTATTTTGAAATTAATATCACACATAAAATATATTATATTTATCTAATAATAAATTTATTTACTTCCAATATTATTTTGATAAAAAATTAAATGAGAATATTATGAGGTAATTTTTTATTAAAAAACAACTTTATTCCTTCCCAAATATTGATTTAAAAGAATCATATTTAGCAGCAATGGGCTCACCGACACCGAGCTGATGATGCCTTCTCATCTTTATTCTCAGCCCACTAAAAGATAATGCTGATCGCACGATGGCCATCCGACGGCGGACATCACTCACCATGCTGATGAAGTTTTTTACCCATATTATAATATCATATATGAATATTTTATATTTGTTTGTATTAAAAAAAATTTGATGTTAATATTCATTTGTATTCATGATAATAATCATAAAATATATCGTCAATTTTGTAAATATAAATTTATTGATGATTTAAAATTTAATTTTATTTGACTACTTTTTTTTAATGTTATTGTATTAATTTGTATATAATTGACATGTTAAAATATATTTATATTTATGTAAATTATAAATAAAATGAAGGAAATAGGGTATTTAGTATAAATATTTGGTAATAAAATATTGTATAAAAATGTTATAATATGTTTCCTTAAAAAATAATTTGATGATAAGAATAAAGAACAAAGCAATATGATAATATATTAAAATTCATTTTATTGTTAATAAAATGTAAAAAATATTAATGAGTGAATTATTATTGAATAACCTTGATGCGCCGCAAACAAATTTTCATCGTTCAACACGAATATAGAGGCATGACACGAATCTAGAGAATATTGTTTAAGCAAAAAACATTTAAATCTTGATAAAAAGTCATCAAGAGCTCGGATTTCAGCACTTATTATCAAATCTTGATAAAAAATCATCAAGTCATTGAATCACACATAAAAGATTTTCAGGCACATTTAGAAGGTCAAACAATTGTCGAATATGACAAGTTTATACTCAAACCGAGCGACTCTATAAGACGAATCTAACGAGCCTAAAATCACTCAATTCTAACATCATAAAAGCACTCAAATGTCCATTAATTGTCGTATGATCCAGAGAAACTCTCCAGACCGTCAAATTAAAATGATTTATATTTCTGCATTAATTGCACTAAGAACACTATAAATAAACCTCCACCCCTCACATGAGAGAGAGCAGAAGTCTAGGCAGAGAGTTTGAGACATTGAGGAGAAACTACAACTCAACATCACCATCGATCGTCGTCGACTACCGCTGACTAACATCATCTCTGTCATCGTAGATCGTCATCGAACATCACCGGTCGTCATCGACCACCGCCGACCTCTGTTGCCAACCACCGCTGATTGTCGTCGACCACTGTCAATCTTCGTCGACCTCCGCCACAATCAACATTGTAATCTGAAAAATATAGTTACTATTTTCCCGTCTGTGGGATAAGGAATTTCTGTAATCATAATTTCAATATTGGAGTTCCGCCACCACCGAACTGTCAATGTGTCGCTCCACCACCGTCAAGCTCGTCCACTGCCAATTTGCCACCACCATAACCGTTACTGACTCCACCACCGTCAAGCTCGCCCACTGCCAATTTGCCACCACCATAACCGTTACTGAACCGTTGTTGTAAGGATGTTGTCATTTTCCTCATATATTATGCCACCCCCTTAGCGTATATCAAGTGACTTCTGTAATATTGATCTCATTAAGTTAAGGGCAGACAAGTCCTCAAACATACATGACAATAAAATCGTTTCATATACAACTTTTATCACTACAGATTTTTCATATAAAAACTCGTGTTTTATTATCTGTCAATTTCTTTTCATTTATGTTTGTGCTGGATCTTCGTGCAACACTAAAATATAATTATATCATTCTACGCCTAACTCTCAAATTTAACGATACACATTAACATAATTTTTACATTTATTCAAATTGTGGATTATAACTAAAATTTAATAAAACAAGATAAAGCTATTTAAATAAAAAAAATATCAAAATCCAAATAACATTCAGACAAAAATAAATGAATTAACCTGAACCAGTAAAAATGAACCTTTAGGTCGGTCGGACTAAAATTGAATCGAAAATCGCAGAAGGTTGTTTAGGGTTCATCCCGCTCCCCGTCTCTCTCGCATCTCTATCTTGATTTACCTGAATTTCCCCTCTAGGGTTAGGGTTCTTGCCATCACTCGCCGTGCAGTGGTGAAGCCAACCTTACTCAATTGGATAACTATTTTTTCTCCGAGGCAACACGTTAGCAAATGATTTCCCTGGTACTCTCTCCCCTCCCCCTCTCTCTCTTTCTCTCTTGACTTAGGTAAATTCCATTGGGATGCAATGTTTTGTCATTGTACAGAGTATCGGTGATGAATTTCGCTAAGATTTCAGTATTTTCTGTACCAGTATTTCTCAGCCGCTCTTTGTTGGTTCTATCACTGTAATACGTGTTATCTTTTCTGATTCTGTTGGCTAACGCAGGATTGATCCAATTGGTGATGGCAGAGGAGTTTTGGATTAAAATTTACAGTAAATATTGAAGATTAAAACCGCGGTAGTCCTTCGCTGGATTTACTCTTATATATTTATATATTTTCCGGATGAGGTTTTTGATGCAAGTAACTCAATTTGATTTGTAAGAGATTATTCTATCGCAGAAAGGAGTTACTGAAAGATGTACGCTGGGCAAGGCAACTATGCTCCACAGTTCAGGCCGCCTTCTGTGCCATCTCCTCCTCCTTACCAACAAGCTTCGTCTGGTCCAGCACCTCCTTTCCTGCAAACCCCTCCTGGTCCTATACCTCCACCAGTCCCTCAAGCACCTCCATATTTTGGCCGATCGATGGCTTCTCAGGCACAACCTGTCCACTTCCCGCACCCTCCTGTGAACTCCTCACAGCCTTACTTGCAACCGCCACCACCGCCACCGCTACCACCACCGCCGCCACCACCACCGCCAACTCCCTCAAATGGAAATGCATCTGTAGTCCCTCCTTATCCACTGGCTGGTCTTCCTGTACCCATGCCTTTGCCACCAGCTCCTAGGATGCTTCAGCCCCCACTGGTGCCTAATTCCCACCATCAAGGACAAGCTGTATATCATAGTCTTCATCCACCCCATCCCGGGATTCCTCATGCTCCTCCCCGGATTCCATGGCCTGCTAATGCACCAAACCCACCTCCTTCACATCCTAATTTAGAATTTACAATCCCTACACCATTCAGAGGGAAGAACCCTGCAATAGATGCACATCCACCTGCAATTCTACCCCCACCACCAGGTCCACCACCTCCACCTCCTCCACCACCATCATCTCCCCCACCACTTCCACCTTCACCTCCAGCTTCGACACCTGTCTTAGATGTAATTCCAAGTGATCCCCTGAAAGCTCTTACTACAGATTCTAAGGAAGATTCAAATGCTTCAGATCATATTGTTGATAATGCACCAGTTCATCATGTTGATATTGGTAAAGGTTTTAGAGAAGGGAACAAGGCTCCTCTGGTTGACGGAGAAGCTTCGGAGAATATTGAATTGCCTCCACCAAGGCCAGATGAAGTTGTTGTTCGAAGCATAGAGGTATTGTGTCAGTTCATTGTGAAGGTTGGGCCTGATTTTGAGATCACTGCTCGAGCTAAGGAGGTTGGAAATCCACACTTTTCTTTCTTGTTTGGTGGTGAACCCGGTAGTGCAGCTGCCATTGGGCATGAGTATTTTCAGTGGATGAAAAAGAAGTATGTTGCTGTAATGGAGTCTCCTAAGGGCGTCAAGCACAATATTTTACCCTTGATTACTCCGATGGCTGATGTTTCTTCGCAAGCTGGAAACTTGGAGTGTGTGGATGCGGCACATTCACCTGCTATATCAGACATGGACATGGAGGGTGAGTAGAGTTCTCTAATCCATTGCTTTGCTACTAGCGGGGTTTCTCCCTACTGCCCTCTGCAACACAATTTCATATAATTAATGCCCGTTTTACAACCTCATAAACTTTTTTTAATTCTCTACTTTACGAGACAGGATATCCTCATGATATCTTCTGCTTGCCACAAAAGAAAAGAAAAATAATCATAAAGAAAATCCTTGCTTTACGTGAGACAAGTGGCAACAGGATTCTGAAAGGATTTTTTCAAGGGAAAAAGAAGAAGATGACTTGGCGGCTATGCTTTGATACCATTGCAAATAAATTTGAGCACAAAATTGCTCAAGTTTTCTTCAATATTTTGACCCATATTTATACAATTCTAGGAGGATTACATAAAAAGAATTATAATCAATCCAGAGAAGAAATTTAACTATGCAATTAATTAAAATAATTTTGTGCACACGGATTTGGTTTTGTTTGGTGATCTAGTCCTAATTTGGGAGATTAATTTTGTAAGTACATGGCATGCAAGGGGCCGACGTAGGCCCAAGTTGTGGAGATTGAATTTCAATTAGTTATACACACTCATAGCACAATTTATCAAAAATGGGAGGGCACATAGTTTATTTTGTTAATTTGAGGTAATATATTTGAGTTTCTGTGAATAGCTATTTAAAATGTTGCACAAAACTTACACGAATTATCAGATTATCTTTTTTGCTTTGAGATTTCTCTTGTTATTCAAAGAACTTCTCAGGTAAGATTCTTTGGTGAATATTTCATCTAACATAACTTTCTATAGCTACTATTTTCTCATTATATATTGTTTTGAAAACCGCATCATTTCATACTTTTTGTGTTGGTATGGTTTTCATGACTACCCTTATCTTAAGCCAAAATGATAGTGAGTTATCATGGAACGGCTAGCGTAACTGCTAAAAGAAGTTTCTTTTTCATAATATATTATTATTATTCTTATTCATTAACTATTGTTAAATTGTTGATGTCAGGTGATTAAGCATCCAAAAAAATGAAGAACAATGTAGGAAAAAAGATGATAAGTAGAGAACACATGCAAGATTCATTATTTCCTGCCATAGGTGGTTTGAAAATTTGTTATTTAATAAGTGCATGTTTGTGGGCTAATGCTATTTTTAATACCCCTTTTCATGCGCATATTTTAATTTGATTATCACACTAAAGTGTTATATATATAAATATTAGGTTTAGGAGTTATATATGTAATTCCATAAATATTGTTTGGTTTCTAAGTAAATATTCTTTATCTATTTTTAATACATCAAAACTCACATATGTCTAACAACTTTTATCGTCAGATAGGGGCATTTACATACATAGATGCAATTCTAATATATTTACATATGTCACACCCGAACTTTCATATTTACACACATAGCGCTCAAATCTTTAACTTCACATCAAAAAATAGCACCAGTACCATTTTTTAAATATGAAATACACATTTTCATGCATAGGGTTAAAGCACCAAAATTCTATTTATGTAGATTTGAAAGTTTTGGTGTGAATATGCAAATACATAAGAATTGCATGTTAGCTACGTAAATTTCCATTTAAAATAAACATATCTCCTTGTCCAATTAATCATATTAACTTGGGAACCTTGTTGGTATTTCCTTTACTTTGTCTAGATGATATCACTCCAGCTGACACAGATAAGGGTTATGGCAATACGAATGAAGAGTCTGATGTTTCTACTCGGGCGGTTTCACATGCATCGGACAATGCAGAAGAGCAATTCCAAGCTAACATTCATGTGGCTAGTGAAGCATCTTCTCCTGCTGTATCTCTCGTTGATGCTGAAGGTACTATTTATAAACTTTTCTGAAACTGTAAGCTTAGGCCACATCTGTTAATTTGCGTATAGAACTTCTATAGCTTAGGTTATTATTTTCCTGTTGTAAATAGGTTTATTTTTAGGTTTTGAAATATTTGATTGGTGCAATGTTAGAAATCTTTTTTGCAGGTTAGTTATTACGTTAAAAATGGTTAGTGTGCAGCTATTCTGTTGTGAAACTATTTATGAAATATAAATTTCTTGTCTTTCGTCAAGAGAAAAAACATAGGCTTTCATAGTCAGGGTGAAGGAACTAAGAAGCATGGTGGTGGTGAGGAGTTGCATGTATGATGCTCGGAAATTTATTTATCTAAACATAGTAGTCATTCATATATTTCAAAAATATTTAGAATGCAATGTGAGGAGCTGATGAATTCTTTAATATTTAATAATTGATTTTACAATAAATTTTAATGTTTATATTCTTAGGCTTCACGATAGTCTACTTCATGGCTTGTAAGCCAAGTGCTTTTGAAAAGAATTTTAGGTGTAGAGTCTCTCGTGCAAGCATGAAGAATGACGAATGTCACGCCCCGCCATTTTCAAGGAAATGGCAAGACAAGTATGGGAATGAAAACTCTAGAAGTGGCATGCATGGCAAGAACCTTCTAGAGACAAGAAGGTGGAAGAGAGTTCCTTACAACTCTAGAAACTTCTATCCAATTATAGAGGTCAAAGGAAGACAATACTCCATGAACAATTCAAGGATGGAGCATGGAGAGTTTAAGAAGAATCTAGAAAGATATAGGATTATGTATTTATGTAAGAATTGTATCGAATAATCTAGAAAATAGGGAATTCTAGAGTATTCTCATGGCTTGGAGGGGGACTATAAATAGAGGTCCCTCCCCTCAGTTGTAATCACCTAATCATTCAATCGAAGGTTTCAAGCATTCGAGCTTTGTAATCTCTCTTTTCCTAGTGAAGCATTTTCTTCTCCAACTCTTCGCCCCATTCTTCTTCCGAGAGTACTTTGTGTTCACGAGTTACGAGAGCTGGGTTGATTTAGTGCCAAGGGAGAGCGCTAAAGCCGCACTGGTGACTCAAGGAAAGTTAATCTGCGACAATTGGTATCGGAGTCTTGGTTCGAAAGAATGACAAAATGCATCAAAGAACACGTAATAAATTTGGAAGCCACTAATGTGGAGTCATCTCAAGGGCGAGGTTGCCAAGACCAAAGATACCCCGTTGCACCCAAGCCACATGGAAGGTACAAGGAGATCATGCATGGCTTTGATTCACGCCTTGCTCAGATGGAGGAGGCAATGAATGACATGGAGGGCCAAGTAGAGGATCTTGGCCAAAGGATAGATGGACTCGAGGAGGACGTCACTATCCATTCAACAACCAGAGGTATGGTGCTCCAACTTGAGGAGACCTTAATGAGTCATATGGCTAAGTTGTAGGAGGATTTGTTGGGGAAGCTCCAAGAGGCGCGAAGAGCTTATGAGGAGGAGATGAGCGACATGCGTGCTAGCTTGGAGAAGATGCGTGGAGACATTTCACTGTGCAAGAGGGCACTAGCGGCATCCACAAGCCATCCCACTTTCGAAGCTCCCACTTTCGAAGTCAAGAGGATTGAAGTTTCAAAACCTATGAGTTTTGGAGGGGTTCGCAACGCGAAGGAAGTAGACAACTTCCTATGGGGACTAGAGCATTACTTTGGAAAAATACAATTTGTCTCTATTTATCTCTCGGACATCGCTAAGCTTTGATGAAGAAGGAGAAAAAGAGATGCAAAGAAAGGTTTGTGCCCCATGTCCACTTTCAATGACTTCAAGAGAGAGCTAAAGAGTCAGTTCTATCCCGAGTATGCCTAGAATGAGGCTCGAGCCCGACTGCGAAGGCTTAAGCATGAGGGTTTGATTTGAGACTACATTAAGGAGTTTACAAGCTTGGTTCTTGAAATCCCCGATATGTCAGACAAGGATGCTGTCTTCAACTTCATGGATGAGCTCCAATGTTGGGCAAAGACTGAGCTTAAGAGGCGAGGAATGCAAGATCTTGACACTGTCATCGCGATTGCTGAAAACTTGACTGATTATTCAAAGGAGTCTAGAAATCCTGAAGATAAGAAAAGTTTTGATGTCAAAAGTGGGGATAACAAGAGCAAACACAAGGAGCAAAAATATCGTGAATTAATCCCAACAAAGGCAAGAGACAAAGGGAAGACTAACAACAAGCCATATCAAAATCGTTGTTTTTTTTTGTAAACCTCATCGGGCAAGGGATTGTTTTCAGAAGAAGACCCTCAACTCTTTCCTTGCAAGCCATAAGGAGGAAGGAGTGATAGGGAAAATGACATGGAGACACATGTGAGATCTCTTCAACTGCGGAACAGGATGCAAGTTCCAACAAAACCCCAAGGGAAGGAGTTATTCTTTGTAGAAATAGCAATAGGAGGGAAGACCATCAGGGCAATGGTGGATATGGGTGCTTCCCCAAGGGAAGGGATTACTCTTTGTAGAAATAGTAATTGGAGGGAAGACCACCGGGGCAATGGTGGATACGGGTGCTTCCCAAAACTTTATCTTCAGCGATGAAGTAAAGAGGTTGGGGTTGCAGATGACCTAAGGAGGGAGTTCCATTAAAGTCATCAACTCAACAGAGATGTCACCAAGGGAGTCAAGACCAACATTGGGCCATAGTCAGGTACTCTAGACTTTTCTGTATTTTCTTTGGATGATTGCAAAGTTGTCTTAGTAATGAACTTCTTGGAGCAAACATTCTCAATGTCATTCACCAATAGCGTGTGCATCACAGAAGAGAGTCAAGCTTGCTCATTATTGATAATAAGGTTAAGCAAGTAAGGATCCAAATCACTATCGGCAATCTAGCTCAAGGATGGCATTGCACAGGACAAGGGGGACAACTTGATCATCCTTCATGATACTAATGAATGAGAAAAGACCCATGGAGTTGGGATGCCAAAGAAAGGGTGGAGGTTCCTAACGAACTACCGCCAAGCAAGAAGAAAGATGGTTCAACAAGTTTGGAGGCAAGAGATAAGCCGCTAGCCACGAAGACTTGCTGCATGACCCCTTTCCCATAACACCATGGAGAAACCAAAGTTTGCCAAGTCTGGTGGCAAACCAATGAGTCAGGTTCGAAGGTGTAGGGGAAGCCACAATGAAGGCATTGCTGTTTTAAGTAGGGGAGAGTGTGACACATCGCCATTTTCAAGGAAATGACAAGACACGTATGAGAAGGAAAACTCTAAAAGTAGCATGCATGGCAAGAATCTCTAGAGACAAGAAGGTGGTAGAGAGTTCCACACATCTCTAGAAACTTCTACCAAATTCTAAAGGTCAAAGGAAGAAAATACTCTACGAAGAATTAAATGATGGAGCATGAAGAGTTCAAGAAGAATCTAGAAAGATCTAGGATTATGTATTTATGTAAGAATTGTATGAAATAATCTATAAAATAAGGAATTCTAGAATATTCTCATGGCTTGGAGGGGGACTATAAATAGAGGTCCCTCCCCTCAATTGTAATCACCCAAGCATTCAAGCTTTGTAATCTTTCTTTTCTTAGTGAAGTGTTCATTTCTCTACATTTTCTTCTCCAACTCTTCTTCCTATTCTTCTTCCGAGAGTACTTTGTGTTCACGAGTTGTGAGGGTTAGACTGAATTAGTGCCAAGGGAGAGCGCTAAAGCCGCACGGGTGACTCGAGGAAAGTTAGTCTGTGACACGAAACTGTCAATGATTTCGAATCTATTATGCATATTCAATGAAGAATCTGAACATTCTTTTTTGTTATTATGATATGGAGTTTGTTATGCGTACTCAAGGATGATCTGAACATTTTCTTTGATATTATTTTTTACTCTTGACGAACTATCAGAGAAATTTGAGCAACATAATTGTGAGGGTGGCATTGATTTTTTAATTTGGTGGCAGGGTAGAAATAGTATTCGATGTTTTTATCCATACATGTGTTACAAATTTAACATGTTTTCAAGTGAAGGTGCTAACCTTAGGGCTTTCCCATGAACCCTAGGAACCACCTTGATCATGAAATTCACTTTGCGAAAAGGGGCTACCTAAATTGATCTCTAACCTCACCAAAGGTCTCCCTAACCCACCAAACCCTAAGGATCACCTTAAACCTTGATATGTCCTTATGACCCCAAAATTTGGTGACACCTTAGGATGGTCAAAAACAATTGGGCCTACTCCAATTCTGGTCAAATCTTTACCAATTGACCACAAGTTTTCAAATTGGCCATATTTTTAGTTAAAACATAATTAAAAAGGAATTCTCTCCTCACGAGAAACTAAGCAGTAACATTGAGAATATTGATGCATTGTTGGCAATCGACTCTAGATTGGGAAAAAATCCTGTTTCGTTGGGTAGTGGGAGCCATAGTTAGTACTGAATTAAGATTTCGTTTGTGGCAGCTTAATTTTTTTTAAATGTTGCTTTTCAGCCACTGCTTCTGTTCTGTTTCTCCTAAAATAATTTTTTTGTAGTACTCTGGAATAGTCAGGAAAAAAAAATTGTTCATTTTTCTTATGGGTGTGCCCCCAATAAAGCCTGAGATCTTGATTTGTAATTAAACATTTTTTATAGAAATTAGTACTTAATGAATAAATTGCTCAACAATGAACATTGATTTATACTTCTGATAAATGGTTCATGATTGACGATTATTGAACTGATTGTAGATTAATCCTTAATTAACTAAAACTGTTGCCTAATATTGATTTATACAAAATTAGTTAGATGATGCATGCTCTAATAAATTCAAAGAAAAAGATAATCAAAATTATGTCCTTTCATTTTCCTTGACATCCAAATAAAATCCACCTGGTCCTGTCTAAGCTTATCTCACTATTCACTGTTTGATAACTTTATGCATATTTGAATTAATCTTGCCAGATTAAGCAAAGTGTGATTGCTTATTGAGTTTTACATATGTTTCTCCAATATCCTACCATTGCCATCTTCTTTATGAATTTTT